CCTAAAGCTAATTCCTATGAAGTGGAAGTCAGAAATACCTCCATTCTCCAACTTTAAAAAAAAAAAAAAAACATTTATGACACCAGCTGTTCTACTGCCACACAGAACTCACAGACCATACTCACAGTGATGTGGGCTTATTAGGGAAGTACCAGGAGCAACTAGGGATCATGATCAGGAAGCACACAGACACAGGTGAATGGCTCCCCTAAGGCAGAAAGAACATCCCTCCCTTCATCAGTGCAGAACGGCTTCCGGCCAAGCCAGCTCTGAATGCTGCTCTCAGCCACGAAGGTATGCAAGCCCTTCTTGAACTTGAGAACTCTTGCAGGTGTCCTCCTGGCCTCCTCAGGACAGGTCTCCACTCAGCCACCTCAGAACAGGTCTCTTCTTGGCACTCAGGCCTGGCGCCTTCTTGTCCCAGGGTCACACCTCTCACTAGAGCCAGAGCATCTACTATTACCAAAGGCAGGCCAGCATGGCCAACACTGCTGGTTTGGTTTGTTTGGGTATCCATCTGCAGGGCCCTGGACAGGGGTTGCTTCCCATTTATGGGGCACCAAGCTCTGGTAGAAATCTTCTGCCAGGAGGTATGTGATATGCTCTGGGGGCCAATCTGACGTGTCAAGATGACACTTAAATATGATTCAACTCAATGCATTCTCCAAGAGGTCATGGGCTTACTCTGTTTTATTCATCACTGTATCCTCAGCTCCTGGAAACAGAGCCAGGTACAAAGGAAGTATGTGACAAATATCCATTACATTCATCAATAGACTCAAAGTTGACTATTGTTTCATAGGTCCTCTGCATAACATAAAGTTCTATTATGTAGGGTAAACAATCTGGTTTTCAGTTAATCCTTTACACTGATGTGGGAAAAATGTACTAATATATACGTGAACCACATCCAACCAATTCAGGATTGCCTCTTTCTCACCAGCCATCTATTGTGTGATTTTTCCATTTATAGCAACATTCCAGGTACCGATGATCTTTTCTATTGTAAAATTCACAGTATTTATTTCCTCCTCCGAGATTAACTAAGACATTCATTCATTTAACTGGCACAATAGAACAATTGATATGTAAGTGTTTGTGCTAACTTTACAGTAAGTCTCAATAACTAAGCACATATTTATTATGTTGGATGAATGTGTCAGTCTTTCCCAGTCTCTGCATACTACGCTTTCCCTTGGGATACACTGTGTAACCACACAATGAGGTAGAAATTTGGTCAACTATCATTCCCAGTGAATATATGAGTTTATTCTATGAGTTTTGTGGGGCATAAAACAAGATGTAATTGGACACTGGTGGAACTAACACAGTTATTGCATTTATAGGCAAGATCATATTCACTGTATTCATAAGGTTTCTCTCCTGGACAAATTCTTGGTTATATCCTGAGGGTTCACATCTAGCGATAGGCTGTCCCATAAGGATTATGTTCCTATTAGTTAGAAGCCCACTAATGTTGACTGATGTCTGAGCTGGTACAGAAGGCAGGTGCATCGTCACTGTATTAACAGAGCTTTTCTCCTGAATAAGGTCACTGGTATCAGATGAGGGATGACTCACCATGCAAGAATCTTCCACTTTGAGTGGATCTACAGATTTCTCTCTTTTATGTTTTCTTTTATGTGAATAAAAGTTAGAGGCAGAGGCAAATGATTTTCCACACTCATTGCAGTCATACACTGTCTGTCCTGAGTGAAATCTTTGATGTAGAATGAGCTCTCGCTTTGTTTCAAAGGCTTTCTCACATTCACTGCACTGAAATGGTTTCTCTCCTGTGTGAATTTTCTGATGCCTAATGAGGCTTGACTTCTGTGAATAAGATTTCCCACATTTACTACATGAAAAGGGATTCTTTCCTGTGTGAAATCTCTGATGTGCTATGAGGCATGACTTCTGGTTGAAGCCTTTCCCACAGTCACCACAGACATAGGGTTTCTCTCCAGTATGAGTTCGCTTATGAATAATGAGCCCTCCCCTCTGGTTAAAGCATTTCCCACATTCACTGCATATGTACGGCTTCTCTCCAGTGTGAGTTCGCTGATGAATAATGAGACTTCCCTTATGTCTGAAGCCTTTTCCACATTGACTGCATATATAGGGTTTCTCTCCAGTATGAGTTCGTTGATGAATAATGAGGCTTCCCTTATGTTTGAAAGTTTTCCCACATTCAGTGCATATATAGGGTTTATCTCCAGTATGAGTTCGCTGATGAATAGTGAGATCTGTCTTCTGGATGAAGCCTTTCCCACATTGACAGCACATATAGGGTTTCTCTGAAATATGAGTTCGCTGATGAGTAATGAGATCTGTTTTTCGGATGAAGCCTTTCTCACATTCACTGCATATATAGGGTTTCTCTCCAGTATGAGTTCGCTGATGCACAGTGAGATCACACCTTTTGATAAAGCCTTTCCCACATTCACAGCATGAATACGGTTTCTCTTCCATATGAGTTTTCTGATGTTCACTGAGCTGTGGTTTATGAAGATAGGCTTTGCCACATTCCAAGCATTTATATGGTTTTTGTCCTTTATGACTTGTGTGATGATGTTCAGTGAGGTTGAACTTTTTATAAAAGGTTTCCCCACATAGACCACATCTATGGGGTTTCTCTCCTGTATGAATGAACTGATGATTAGTCAGGAAAGACTTCCTGATGAAGGCTTTCCCACATTCTCTACATATATGCAGTTTCTCTATTTTGTGAGTTTTCTGTTGGTTAATGAGTGGCAACTTGGTGCTGTTGGATTTTTGATTCTCAGGGAATTTCATTTCAGTATAAAATTGTTCACGGTCAGCAGGGACAAAGCTTTCCTCATCACCATTAAGCTCAACAGAGAATTTTATGTCACTGCTTATTCTCTGGTTGACTGCCAGTAAACTTAAATTTGATTTCACAGCTTCTTCATACAAGCTAACCATACCATGATTTTTCCTTAAAGGAAAATGATTTTTGTCCAATGCATTAAGTTCACAGTATTGTTCCATTCTGTCCACCCTTCTTTCATTTTGTGAATGTCCAAGCAGATGATCATCAACTTCCCAGAATTCTAAGAAAGAAGAGATCAATGAATCTTTCCATCATGTTCATTTGCAGTGAAACCATTTTAAACAATGCATTGATGGAAGGTGATTTTTAGTGACAAAACTCTGGTTTGAGTTTAAATAAAATACCATGCTTAATGTTCCTTGTACACTGATAAAAATATAATGATATAAACAAACCAGACATTAAAAGCAGTTAGTGTAGAAACAAGGTAAGGTAATATATAATAAATGCATACAAATTTGTCTGCTTCTTAAAAAAGGCCTTGCAAAACATGAAGAGAATGTAAAATAAAATTTAGTCATTTGATCCACAGACCACAGAGGTTGTAAGGACTCCTTATCCAATGGGTGAAGGACAGATTCATTCATTCCAAAAATCCTTATTGAACGATAGCTATTCACCAGGTGTAGTTGGATATGTGAAGAATGCATAATGGTACATTTGGGAGAAGACAATTTCCACATGCACACATTAAAGATATTGGGGACACACTAATGTATTCCTTATGTTCATGGAGCTTACATTATAATTTTCACCATTCATCTCTCAGCTTGTCATACTGTGGTGGCTTTCATGTTGCTGTGATGATGTAACTAGGCCATTTGTATTTGAAATATCAGCAGGGTCATCCATGGTGGACAGGTTTCAGTGGATTCTAGACTAAGACAGACTGGGAAGAAGGACCTGATGATCTACTTCTGGAGAAACTGGCCAGAAAAAAAAAAAAAAAAAAACCTATGGATAGCAGTGGAACACTGTGTAAGCCCCTCAAGTTGGAAAGCACTCAAAATATTACTGGGGAAGAGCTGCCTCCTCAAAGTAGAGTCAGCCTTAAGGACGTGGATGGAGAACACTTTTCAGAATTCATTTGCTGATGTGGCGTGACTCAAAATAAGAAACAGCTGCAAACATCCATCAATAATGAGAATGTAAAATGTACAAAATATGAAATAAGGAAAATTGGAAGTTGTCAAAAATGAAATGGAATGCTTGAAGGTTGATATCTTAGGTGTTGGAGAGCTGAACGGGATGGTATTGGCCATTTTGAGTTGGACAATCAAATGGTATGCTATGCCAGGAATGAGAAATTGAAGAGGAATGGAGTCACATGCATTGTCACAACGAACATCTACCTTAAAGTACAATGCTGTCAATTATATTATCCATATATCTGCCTGGAAGACCAGTTAATATGAAATTAAGAATTCTGCAAGACCAATGATCTATTCTTTACAAATACTTGTTTCAGCAACATAAAAGGCAACTATATACATGGACCTTTCCAGGTAAAATACACAACAATCAAATTCACTACATCTGTGGTAAGAGATGACTGGGGGGGGGGGGCGACAACACTCAGTTATCTTCAGTCAGAACAAGGCCAGGGGCTGCCTGTGGAACACACACGATCAGTTGCTCATATGCAAGTTCAAGTTGAAGCCAAAGAAAATTAAAACAAGTCCACAGAGCCAAAATAAGACCTTGAGTGTATCTCACATTTAGAGAATTTAGAGACCATCTCAAGAACAGATTTGAGGCATTGAACATGGATGACAGATCAGATGCATTTCAACAAATGGATGTAATGCTGGATGTGCTAACTGATCTATGCTAAGAAATTTGGAAGACAGCTACTAACCAGCTGGAAGAGATTTGTATTTGTGCTAATTCCAAAGAAAGGTGATCCAATGAAATGTGGAAACTGTCAAAACAGTATCATTACTATCATCAATATCATTAATATCTCACACAAGTAAAATTAGGCTAAAAATAATTTTAAAATGGTTGCAGCAGTACACTGACAGGGAACTGTCAGAAATTCAAGCCAGATTCAGAAGAGGATGTAGAATGAGGGATATCATGGCTGATGTCAGAAGGAACTTGGCTGAAAGCAGAAAATACTAGAATGATGTTTGCTTGTGTTTTATTAACCATGCAAAAGCATTTGACCATGTGGAACCTAACAAATTATGAATAGCATATTTACGAATGGCAATTCCAGAACACTGACTTGTGCTCATGTAGAACCTAGACATAGACTAAGAGGCAGTTGTTTGAACAAAACAAAGAGATACTGCATGGCTTAAAAATCACAAAAGATGTGTGCCAGGGTTGTATCCTATAAAAATTACAAAGTGGATGCGTCTGACATCCTCTAACTTCAGGTGGGGAGACAGAATCACCATCAGCATCAGCACTAAATTGATTAGTAGGAGTAGGAAGTCAGATATGCCTCCACCTTCTAAACTTTTAATCAATCAATTCTAACACCAATTGCTCCTCCCATGGCACTCTCTACTTCTCTGTTGGTTTTGACAATTCTTTGCAATGGCCACACAGAAATCACAGACAATACACACAATTATGAGGTTTATTAGGGAAGTGTTGTTGTTGTTGTTGTTATGTGCCATCGAGTCAGACTTGACTCATAGAGACCCCTCCTTGGGTTTCCGAGGTGGTATCACTACAGAAGTAGATTGCCCAACATTCCTCCTGAGGAGCGGCTGGTGCCAGCCTTCTGGTTAACAGTAAAGTGCCTTAGGCACTATGCTACCAGAGCTCCTTTACAGGGAAATAACACATAATAATTCAGTATAAGAAATGACTGAGGATACAGCTCTTTGGTCAGGGCAGCCTCTCAGCCTTGCCTACAAGCAGGCCACTCTCTGGCCCTCAGTCCTTCCATCCCTTTGCCCTTTAGCCTGGCCCATGCCTAGCTTAAGGAAGTTGTACAGAAGTCTGTACCTCCACTGATAAGTGCCCTGAGGTACCCCACTCTCAAAGTAAGGCTCTTGCCCAAAGGTGGTCAGCTTTCACTCTCCATGGGCCAGAAAACCAATGTGCTGTCTCCTGCCAGTCTCCTGGTTCTGCTGTCTCTGCTACAACCATTTCTTGCCACTACTGCCATCTCTGACCATTTCCAATGTTACAACCCTTTCTTTCTTTCTCTCCCTGGCATAGGAGGTTGTCAGCTTAGGTACTAAAGATGACCACCACCCCCGGTTCTTCTTTCTTGGTGGTTGTGGTGTACCCTCTCTGCTTTAGGATTGGCTCTCTTTTTAACCTAGGAAGATGGCAACACTAACCAAACCAATAATTAGGGTTCCTTATTTGCATGGACCCATCCCTACAGGGGTGCCTTTTTACATTATTAGCAAGCTAGCCAAACTCCTTTGTGGGTACCTTATTTATAGAGCCCTACCCAATCCAGCCAAATCTTTCTTGGAAGGCTCCTCAGAAGTGAGAATGGCCAGACTTTTGTCTCATGTGCTTTGGTCAAGATGTCAGACTAGTCCCTGGAGAAGGATATCATGCTTGATAAAGTAGAGGGTCAGTGAAAAATAGGAAGTCCCTCAAAGAGATGGACTGACATAGCGACTGCAACAATGGGCTCAAGCACAGCAAAGACTGTGAGGATGGTGCACGACCAGGCAGTGTTTTGTTCTGTTGTACACAGGGGAGCTATGAGTTGGAGCCGACTCAATGGCACCTACCACCACCACCCACACAATTGTTTGGTGGGAGTTATAAGGATTATGGCTTGTTGTTGTTGTTACGTGCCGTCAAGTCAGCCCTGACTCATAGCGACCCCTCCTTGGGTTTCCGAGGCAGTATCAATACGGAAGTAGGACTGCCCAACCTTCCTTCTGAGGAGTGGCTGGTGGGTTTAAACCGCCAGCCTTCTGGTTAACAGTCAAGTGCCTTAGCCACTATGCTACCAGAGCTCTAGAAGGGCCATATTAAGTCATTCACTGTACTGCAGGTCACCCCCTGGCTCTTGTATCTACTGTCCTTTTCATATCTGAAGGATTAGCTCCCCCTTCCCAATTATTTTACCTGACCAAAACAGTCATTAGGAATTAGGCCTCCAATAGGGCAAAGAGTCCTCAGGGTGTGGTTACTCAAGTAACAGCCATTCAAGTCTGCTGCAGGTATCCATCTGATCTGGTCAGGTTCTCCAAAAGTTATCTCCTTTTCTTTACCTCCTCTGTCCTTTGATGAAATTAACTGAGAGAAGATTATTTCCTTGCTCAGAGCCTCATCAGGTATCACCATATCAAAACTTTTGTACTCCAATCCAGCAGTACCTCACCCTTAGTTACTACTTCCACAACTACAATTTTCACAATCACAATTAACTCTTTAACTAACACTCACAACTGAATCACATAATCCGATTAGCATCTTCCTCCACCCTGTATTCTGCAGTATCTTTTCACCATCTTATTCGATCTGTATGATGAGGAAATAATCCTAGAAGTCAGACTATATAAAGAAGTAGATGGCATCAGGATTGGAGGAAGACTCATTAACAACCTGCGATATGCAGATGACACAACCTTGCTTACTGAAAGCAAAGAGGACTTGAAGCACTTACTGATGCAGATCAAAGATTATAGCCTTCACTATGGATTACACCTCAACGTAAAAAACAAAAATCCTCATAACTGTATCAATAAGGAAAATAATGATAAACAGAAAAAATATTGAGCTTGTCAAAAATTTCATTTTATTTGGACTCACAATCAATGCTCATGGAAGCAGCAATCAGGAAATAAAATGAATTATTGCATTGGGCAAATCTGTTGCAAAAGACCTCTTCAAAGAGTTAAGAAGCAAAGGTGTCACTTTGAGGACTAAGGTATGCATAACCCAAGCCATGGTATTTTCAATCGCCTCATATGCGTATGCAAGCTGGACAGTGAATAGGCAAGACCAAAGAAGAGCTGATGCCTTTGAATTGTACTGTTGGCAAAGAATGATGAAAATACTATGGACTAATAGAACAACAAATCTGTCCTGGAAGAACTGCAGCCAAAATGCTCCTTAGAAGAAGGAATGGCCAGACTTCACCTCACCTACTTTGATCATGTTGTCAGAAGGGACCATTCCCTGGAGAAGGATAGCATACTTGGTAAAAGAGAGGGTCAGCGAAAAAGGGGAAGACCCTCAACAAGATGGCTTGACGGACTGGCTGCCACGATGTGCTCAAGCATAGCAAGGACTGGGAGGATGTCACAGGACTGGGGAGTGTTTCGTTCTGTTGCACACAGGGCCAGTATATGTCAGAGCCAACTCAACGGCACCTGACAACAACATAGTGAGTTCTGTGTGGCCATTGCAATGAATTATCAAAACCAGCAAGGAAGTAGAAAGTGCTGTGTGGAGGGCAGTGGTTGGTGTTAAAAATGGTGAAAAAGTTGGAGAGCCAAGGTACTTCTGACCTCCACCTCACAGGAATCAACTTTGTGCTGATCTTGATCCCCATCCCAATCCTTAAAGGTAGACAAGGTTTGAGGCTAGTAGAATACAACTGGCTTCATAAACAGCATTACACAGACTTTAGCTGGATTGGCTAGGAAGTGCCACCCAGTGTATCTTTTATTGGGATTTTTCTGGAGAGAATGGCCTGTCTGATCTTTACTGGGATTGGCTATGGAGCCTGTCCAGTAACTGACATTTACCCAGATTGATGAAGGAGACTTTCCCATTCTGACCTGTACTTGAACTACCTGGCAAGTACCACCCAGAACTGAGGACTAGCCCACATGAGGGGCAAAAACACTAATGGGGGAGGGGGCACATCTGATCTATGAGAGCCAAGAAGAGGAAATGAGCTTATCCTTTTGACATGGGAACCCAGTGTTGAGACCCATTCAGACCCAGGTGAAAGAGCTATAATACTTGGAGCTGCGACAACAATTGTAAGAGGGCCAGGAAGTGCCTGCGGTAAGACAAGAAGCTGTAGAAACAAGCAAACTTGGACAGTGAGTGGCACCAGAGTGTGAGGGCAAACCCTGACCAGAACATGTAACACTTTGAAGAATGGGGCACCTCTGGCTGCAGAGGCTGGGTGGGGTACCACTAAGGTAGTTCTGCCCAAAGAGCTGTTGTGAAGCCACTCTAGAGTTGGGATGACCTAGAATAGTGATGACCAGCAAGAAATGGGACCATGTGAGAGCTATCCTGGAGCCAGCAAGGAGGAGAGCAAGCTGAGAATGGTTGACAGCAGACCCCACTGAGTGACACTGCAGAGCATTTCCTGGCTTGAATGCTTTCCTAGTTGACGTACATGGACATCTATTTCAAGGAGAGCAAGCAGATGCCCTTGACATGTTGAGGTGCCATGAAGGAAACACTTGTGGACCTCTTCCCATGCATTTCTTTGTTTATATCCATCTTTATTATGCATCTTTATTATGATAAAAGTCATTATCGTTGTTATGGGGTTTCTGTGAATTCTCTGTGACCACTGCAATGGATTACCAAACCCATTAGGAAAAAACAATGCTAAGGAAGAATGGCTGGTATCAGAAATAATGTACAAGTGGGAAAGTTGGGATGTATTTGATGTCAGCCTCTTAAGAACCAGGTCTGGGCTGATTCTTAATCATTTCTTATGCATGACTTATCAATTGGTTTACGAATGAACTGATAATGCAAGATTTTAAAATGTTTTTATAGTTTAAAAAGCATTAAGAAGGCCAGAGAACTTTTTAAAGAGAGCCCTGCAGATAAGAAACATTCAAGGATGGCTAGGATTTCAGATGTCCAGTACTAAAGGATAACCTAAGCTGACAGTAATTTTCTTAGCAGGAAGATGATACCAGCTCCTTACTGGGAACTCATAGAGATGTTTCGTCAAGAGGAGTAAATATACATAAAAATGTCTATGTTAGACAGTTCCAAGGGAGATGTAAATTTTACCGTCTCCTTTAGGAAACATAAGGAGCTTTACTTATTAGAATCAAGGCAACTTTAAAGGGTTAGAAGAAGAAATGAAAAAACAGAAATGAGACCTTTAGAGACCCTCAGGGTGGGGGGAAAGAGAAGTTAAGGAAGCAGATAAAAAGTACAATGAGAGACCAGATACTGTGGGGTCCAACATCCATGGTGGGTTGGATGCCAGGAAGGGAAATCCGTATTACTCAAGAGGTGAAGAAGGTGCCGTACTCTGAGTAAAGTTACGATGTCAAAGTTGAATCTTTGGAAAGAGGCCTAGAAGGTGGAATTTCATAGTAAGGCAGATGCAAGGATATGCAGAAGGGAAAGATTTGAGAATCCTTGGAAGAAAAAAATTATAGAACCAAAAATATCCAAACACAGATCAAATAAATAGGGAATTTATCTCAGAAGAGACAGACATGTATACATTTCTCTAAATTCCTAGACAGAAAAAGAGGTCTCACATGGGAGAGAGATACATGGTGGTATTTTATTTATCTTCAGACACGCCTCTTCACAGATGTGACACCTCTCACTTGAGTGTGACTCCCACAGCCTTCCCCCTTACTGCTTTTTGCTCACTCACCTGAGAAGATTCCACTGTGGCTGTTGTCTAATGTGCTCCAGGGTGGTTCTCCTCGTTCCAACCTGGAGGGTGCATCTGGTTTGCTAACTTGATACCCTGTTCATGGGAAATCACAGAATCTTAGGCACACCAAGTTGGCCTTTGGTTCGTGAAGACTGCAGAATGCGGTATTTGTGAAAAAAGAAATGTCAAACACACAAAGGTTCTTCTGTTACGAAGAGGAACAATATACCCACTAATCTAGGGCCAGACAGTGGACTGAGAATCTGCCTGTTTACAGCACCACAGACACTCCAAAGATTTCAGCAGCTGCGAAAGGAAAGGCCAATGACAGGGCCAATGACACGAGAGCTGTCCTCACCAATGGACACCAGGTTGCTGTAGTTCTCCAACATCACGTCCTGGTATAAGGCCTTCTGAGCAGGGTCCAGGAGCTGCCACTCCTCCCCGGTGAATGTCACAGCCACATCGCTGAAGGTCAGTAATCCCTGTATCAAGAGGATTCTGTTTAATGAAGTAGTTCCCATTTGATGAATTTAATGAAATGTGAGAAAAGCTGTTCCACCCATCCCATTTCCTTTATATAGGCTGCTGAATATGTACCTAGGTTTTCTTTCTTTTTTTTTTTTTTTCAATGTCTTAAGTTGTTGTTGTTGTTATGTGCCGTCGAGTCAGCCCCAACTCATAGTGACCCATCCTTGGGTTGTCGAGGTAGTTTCACTACGGAAGTAGACTGCCCAACCTTCTTTCCGAGGAGTGGCTGGTGGGTTACAGACACAGCAAAATCACCATAAACTATTCTGAGTTAGTGCATTCCATGATCCACCCATTCATGAAATTAGAATTCTCTATGTCTAGCAATGAAATGGTCTTCATAAGCTGCACACCTCGCATTCACACACACAAGTGTTACGCAAACATGTACGTATATATTAAGAGACAAGTGAACTGTATACTGTGAAATAGGGCTAGGAGTACTAGTACTATCAGGATTGGTGTCTGAACCTCACGTCATGGGGATAATGACCAGGATCAGTTCAAGGATGATCTGTATGAGGTGGAGGTCAGACATGCCTCCACCCTCCAATCTCTCACCAATTCTGACACAAGCTGTTCTTCACACAGAACTCGCTACTTCTGGATTCATTAATTCATTGCAATGGCCACATAGAACTCAATAGACCATACTCACAATTATGGGGTTCATTAAGGAACAGGGTACAACTCAAGATCAGGATCAACAGACTACAACTTATGAGTAGGATTAGACAGTATGTAGGCAGTCTCCTTTCATCAATGTAGCATAGACAGCTCTCTCAGCTCCTCTCAGCCCTCTGAGTCCAGGCTCTTCTTGGTCCTCCCATCTGTCACCACAGGCTCTTTTGCTTGGTCCCTTCTGGGCCTGTCATCATTACTTCTGCTCCTGGGCCCCTTCTAGGTCTACTGCTGTTGACTTTGCCACTGGGTCCTTCTTGACCTCTTGGTGTCGTTAGTGTTACAGCTCTTTTAGGAGATTCACTGCCTCTCTCCTCTGCTTCTTCCTTCTGCTCTTTCCTGAAGGCTTTCTTCTTGCTTCTTTGTCTGTGAAGCCATTGTGAGGAACACACAGCAAATACACTAAAGAGATCCCCTCTGGTGACACACTGCCTAAGGCATTAGACTGCTAATCAGAAGCTTGGTGGCTCAAACCCATGAGCTGCTCCTTGGAAGGAAGATGGGACAATCTGATTTGATAAAGATTTACCACCTTGGAAACCCAACGCGGGTCACTATGAATCGCAATCAACTTGATGGCAGTGGGTTTGGTGGTTTGCTTTGGTTTGTGGTAGCTGAGAGAAAGGGAAAATATAAACAAGACCTTAGTGCACACGGACAGATAGAGAAGGTCTACCTGTGTTGAAATGAGTTCCTTTACGTGGCCTTTAGCCTTGGAAAAACGGCTTGAGAGATTTTTCCCCCTAAGCCCTGAGATGTCACCTCTGCCCTAGTTATCCATCCCAGAGGACTTGTGTTGTAAGCATTTTATCTTGATACTTTTTATCTGCTCCTTGGCTGCAGCCTGTCCTGTGATTGGTATGCACCTTGCAGTGATTGGCCAATACAGTATGCAAACGAAGTAGCTATAGCCTACTCTGCAAATGAAGTATCTGGGGCCTGTCAAAAGGGAATTGGCCAGTTTGTGGCCACACGGGGAGGGTCATGCCTTGAAATTGACAAGGAGTTTGTGTACGTATGAAGTCCATGCCACAGGTTTCTCAGTCACCAGTAAGCAGCAGGAAGGAGAAAAAGCAAGAGAAGCAGAGAAGAGAGAAGGGACCTCCTTAAAAAGCTGCGACAGGATCAAAGGCTGTAACGCTGCAGACAGCGAAAGGCTCGGAAGGCTGGCAGCAGTTCCAGTGGTTGACAGGCCCAGAAGGGGCCCGGTGGCAGAGCTGGAAGAGATATGCGGCAGGGCTGAGAAGATCCTGTCCTGACGGGGTTGACAGGAAGCCTGTCTTGATGGAACTAAGAGGAGGCCTGCAAGGCCAAGATAAGTGCACATGGCAGAGAGAAGGGCCTGCTTATTTGCATGGGTGACAGAAACCAAGAGACCCGTCATATCTGAAACAAGGCAAGACTTTGTCTACATGCTCCTTGATCCTGTAGATCAGAAGTTGTAGGCTTCTGATCCTGACCCCAAGTGGTACCCTGTTACATCTTTAATAAACCACTCAACTGTAAGTACAGTTCATGGTTTCTGTGAGATGTAGCAGTGAATTGCTGAACCCAACCGGGGTAGGGAACAGTGCTGAGGGGAGAGTGAGCAGCCGATGTCAGAGGTGGAGTGGTAAAGCAGCTTGGATGATGTGGAAATCTGGGATACGTATCTCTGCCTCATAGGAACTGGCTTTGTGCTAATTCATATTTGAAGTTACTCATACACTATAGGCCTGTCCATACCTTCCGAAAGAGAGAAACAGAGTTAAGGGAGAAGAAATGGCCCAAGATTTCACTCTGCACTGAAAAATAATGTTTTAATGAACAAAAGAACTGAGAGAGGCAGATTCTAAGATAGCCCCATGATCAAAGCTATTTTAGCTCTGCTGATAGGTACACCCCACTCTGCCAGCAACCAAGCCTCCTGTCCAAAGGCACTCAGTTTCTCACTCTGTGGACCAGCAAGCCCACTGCTCTGTCTCCTGCTGGTCTCTGGGTTCCGCTGCCACTGCTGCTGCTGTCTCTCTGCCGTCTCAGTGCAGGGATCTCGGGTCCAAGGACACCCTTCACCCCTGGTTCTCTCTCTTGTTGGTAGTGAGATTGCCCTTTTTCCTCTTTGGGAGGGCTCATTTTAAGCCTTGCAAGATGGCAAAACAGACCAATTCTCACATTAGAGTTCCATACATCATATTTGCACAATCCCACTGCCACAACTCAGCCATGGACCTTATTTCCATTACTCACAAGCTATCCAGTCCCTTTGGCACCTCATGTTTGCATAGTTCCACTCAGCCATCTCGTGGGAGTCAAAGACCATGGCTGGAAGAGCTGTATCAAAGAATTCACTGTACCCCAGGCTGTTAACACTAAAGACAGCAACAGGCTGAGAGGGGCCCCCTGGCAGAGCCAGTGACAACAGACCCAAAAGGGGAAAAGCAACACTGCCAGTGCCACAGGCTCTCCAGGGGCTCTGTGACAGAGCTGGTGGTGGCAAGGCAAAAGGAACCTGTTCTGAAGGGGCTGAGAGGCAACTCCCCTGAGGGGGCCAAGAGGAGGCCTACAAGACCGAGCAGAGCTGAGAGAGCTGTCTCGCACCAAGAGGGGGGACGTGACCTATATGCTTCCTGACCCTGATCCTGAGTTGCAGTCTACTGATCCCGATACCAAGTTATACTCTGTTCTCTCTCTATCTCTGGATCCTGCATTTGGTTTGTCAACATCTCACCCCTGGGTTGTTGGGGCCTGACACAGCAGCTAGTCATCTGACCCACCAACTTGGGTTCATCAACTCCTGCAAACATGTGAGTGAGGAGAATCCTCCAGACTGACATGTGAGCCATGGATTTGGACTTGTCAACTCCACAACTGCATAAGCCATTTCCTTGGCAGGTTGTGAGTTCTGTGAGTGGTTATAGGGAAACAAGAACCCTAAGACAGGACAGAGAGTACTAAGGGGAGGAGGAAGAGTTGACGTTAGAGATGATGGAATGGTACAGCAGTTTGGAAAAGGTGGGTATCTGGGACATCTTTAATCTCCACGTCATAGGGACCAGCCTTGTGCTGATCCTCGAAAACAAATGATTCGCGCAGCCTCCTAGGGATTAGCTACGAGTTGACCCTGCATTATCCCCTGACATTCAACCAGTTTTGATGCTAATACTCGCACTGCAGTGAAGTACTTACTAGGGCCGTTGTAGCCATATTCTTTGAGACGCTCACACTTTGATGGGGTAGGCTTATGCTAATAAGGTGCTTGTGGCCTACTAAGGGGATTGGACAGCTTGCTAATAATGCAAATAAAGTGCATGGAACATGGGGGTGGGGTGAGGGGAACCATGTAAATAAGGTGTATGGAGCCATAATGAAGGGACTGATCAGTTTTGCCTTTCTGCTAGGCTTAATATGAGCTCATCCCAGAAATGAAAGAGGGGACCTCACTATCAACAAGAACTAGAGACAGAAGTAGAGCGTGTCCCTTTGCCCTGGTGTGTCTACACTGAGAACCTCCTAGACCCAAGATACACAGAGCTATGAGACCAGAGAGGAGCTCTGGTAGCATAGTGGCTAAAGCACTTGACTGCTAACCAGAAGGCTGGCGGTTCAAACCCACCAGCCACTCCTCGGAAGGAAGGTTGGGCAATCCTACTTCCGTAGTGATACTGCCTCGGAAACCCAAGGAGGGGTCGCTATGAGTCAGGGCTGACTTGACGGCACATAACAACAACAGAACATGAGACCGGAGAAGGCCTGAGACAGCAAGAAGTGCTGGCAAGCACAGCAGAGTCCAGTGGCAGAAAAACAGCAGCAGCACAACCAGCAGACTGGCCCAAGAAGGCACAGAAGGCTTGCGGGCCCATGGAGCCTGGCACCAGAAGGCACAGTAGGAAGGCAGGCCCATGGAGCAAGGTGGTTACATTGTATGTGCTAACTGGTGGCTAAAGTGAGTGTACCATCCTACGAATCAAGAGAGCCAAAGGCCTTTGGGCCTGAGGCCTGCTGGCAGAGTAGAGCGCCTCCAGGCACTTACTGGCAAAGCTAGAGATTTCTACCATTTGACCAAGCAGGGCATAGACCAGACCGAAGGCCAAGAGAGGGAGCCTGTCCTGATGGATTTGAGAGGAGCCTGTCCTCAAAGGGGGTGAGAGGAACTTGTCCCACGGAAGCTGAGAGGATCTGGTCCTCAGGGGGCCAAGAGGAGCCTATCCATGGGGGAGCTGAAAGAAGCCTCTCTTCAGGGGACAGAGAGGAGCCCTGAATGGCTGAGAGGAGACACACAGTGCTG